GAGAGGAGGAGAAGCGGCGATCCGATATAATTTGGCAACCTTTGCGATGATGTATGATATTTGGTTTGATTTCGGTTTCGGTTTTGAGCTTGGGTTTGGGCTTGGGTTTGGCGCATTGCGCAAATGGCTACCTGAGAGTTTTGGGGCTGAAGCTGATGTTGATGATGCCCCCAACTCGTTTGTTGTTTGGGGCGGATGTGGCATGTGCCACGTTTGTGGCACCATAGGATGTTCTCCGCTCGACTGTTTAGCATATTCATTGTTGATTGCAGCCCCATGATAATTATAATTCCTCGTTTCATTCTCGTTTTCTATTTAATTGCCTTCCTCTTTTTTCGGTTACTGCTGCTGCTGCTGTTGCTGTTGTTGCTTTGCATAATTGCATTGTTGTTGCCGAAATCATCATTAGAACTTTTATTTGCACAATAATCAACTAACTGCAGCTGCATTGTGTTTGTGCAACGCCAAAACCATTGAAAGGAGCAAAAAACGGCCAAAAATGGAAAAACGCAAAAACGGAAAATACAAAAATTAGCTCTAAAACCAGAACAATGAGAACTTAAAACGGCTGCTCAAGTGCGTTTATCAAGTTGCGGTCTGTTTAGGAAATGGTTTTTATTTCTTCTCGTTTTTTATAAGCAGGATTTTAGCTTGAATAATGTGCGCTCCAAGCAAATTAATGATGTGGCATGCATGAGCAACAGGAACTAGCTGAAAGTTGCAGCAACAGCGAGAAGCTTAAATAATTATATAAAGTGCTTGAAATTGGAAGAGTTGAGCTTAAGAGCTACTGTCTAAAGAGTCTTTAGTACCGTTTCTTTCTGCAGAAGTTATTCTTAATATGTATAAAATATTTGGTTTCCTTAAAGTTCCCATTTGTTTTAAGCTTGTAATTAGACTTGCCTATAAATATACTTAAATGTCTTTAGATGGCTCTTAAAAGGGAAGTACATGACACCCAAGCCTGATGAGCTCACTCGCCTGCCTAAATTAAAAAGCCATTTCATAGCTAATTTAATAAATTATTGTATTCGAATAGATGGTCGCCTCTTGGCCGCATTAGCAAATGGCCAAAACAAAAACCCAGCATAGCAAGGAAAAAACCATTTAAAATGCGCTAATGCTCCATAAAGCTGACAGCAGAATAAAAAACGACGCACACAGAAAATGGTTTTTGCGGCACAACAAGTGTCAACCACAATGAAAGTCAAACCAAGTCGGCCCCATATATACATATATACATATATATTTGTATGCATGTGTGTAGATAATTACTTTATTATTGTTTTCGTCACGTATTTGAAACAATTTTCAAGAAGCAGCTGCCGCTGTTGGTGCCACCTCCGCTTGGTTAAAAGTCAAGGTTAATGCGGCCAGCCAAATTATCCGGACGTTCGAGATGATGGCACATGTTGTGTCGGCTACAGTCCATGCCCCATTCAAGGGCAGCCCCCCGTCAATTATCAACGGGTATTCAAGAGAAAAAATAACACACAAATATAATCTGCGGCAGCGTGTGAAACAAGTGTTAAACTCCAATAAAATATGGCCACAAGTCATCAGGCCTATAGAGCTATATTAATTACAGCTCACATCAGCTCAGTTGAGTCGAGTTGAGTTCAGTTCAGTTCAGTCCGTTTGGGGTCCATTATGAAATGACAGCAACCAACGCCTAATGATAATAGGTATTTGAAATCAAGCCAGACGTACCTGCTGCCATTTTCAGCTGCCAGTCGCAGCAAATTTAGACTTTTCTTGTTTGCAACCGCTGTGGCAGTTGCAATGACTGCGCTGATTAAGGGAATTTCTCACAGACATATAAAAAAATATATAAATAACTGGAAAACTAAGCCAACAGCAGCAGCAGCAGCAGCAGCCGAAGCAGCAGCCGCATTGCCAAACGTTTCTTGTTGCTGTTATTAGTTGTAGCTGCCGCAATGCTTTTCTCGAAGGTGAACCAGAATGAGTCTCAGTCTCAGACTCCGGTCGCACTCTCAGTCTGCATCTCAGTCACAAGATTCGTCTCTGCATGAGCTTCAATTGAAGCGCACTGAAAGCCATCTGCAGTCGGCAGTGGCCGTCGATATATTCCTTGGCTCAATTGCCTCAACCGGATTGCCACTGCACATCTTTTGAAAGTGAGCGGCTGTCGCTGGCTGACGCTGCTGGCTGCTGGCGGCTGGCTGCATCAATTCTAGAGCGAATGTCTGCTGTAAATTTATTGCCGCGATTTGATTTTAATTAGTTTAATTTATGGTAATTTAAAATGGAAATTGCGCTGCGGCGTGGGTTTTTAACATCAGGGATTTGCGTAATTAAAACGCTTAGCAGCATTAAACGGCATCCGGTCGATGGTTAAGTTGCTCAAGATCTTACATGGAATTAAATCCGAGAACACGTTAAAAATTGCAAACTCTTTGGTGGCTTTAATATTGTCTTTTTCACTAATTTAAGTACATTTAATACATGAGAGCGCTTGCCATGATTTCCTTTATCAAGTTCGTGCCTGCGTCTTTTCTTTTCTTAATAATATCCTGTTTGCCAACTATCCAATTTTATCTCCTGTTCTTATTCTCATATTTACTCGATAACAGATAAGAAATAAACTAACATGTTTCCTTCAATGAGAAATTGATATGATATCCCCATATTCATATTATATTCGTTTTCTTATCAAACTGCATGTTCGTTGCCTAAGTCTTTTGTTTTCATCATTACTTCTGCTGTTTTCCAAGAATCTCATGTAATCATGGGTTCTATTTATACATTAAGTCATTTACAGATAAGAAATCAGCAACTATATTCGAAATTCATATTATATCCGTTTGCCTATCAGCTTGCAAGTTCGTTGCCTAAGTCTTTTATTTTTCCCTATTAATTCCGAATATCGCGCTGTAAGCCTTTTGTATGTTTTAGTTGCTAATCATTCATTTAACTAGCAATTAATAATGTCAATTTTCTAATAGCTATCAACTGGCCAGTTCGTTGCCTAAGTCTTTCGTTTTTATCACATTTAAATGCTGCTAATTGCAATCATTTCGGTGCAATGCCGCAATTAAACACTGTTACAGTCTTACAAGTTCGTTGCCTAAGTCTTTTGTTTGGCTTTCATCAATGGCTCACAGGCCGAAATGAAAAATTTGCACTAATTTTATTTATTTATTTAATTTTTTTTTTGCGACACAAAATATGCCAAAAACATAAACAAACAAAAGCCGCAAGCAAAACAAAACCCCCCAACAATGCTGCAATGCGGCGAGGCCGCGAGGCTGCGGCATCTGCCACAGCGCCAACTATTTAGCGATGAATGAGACGAACGAGCCAAGAGGCGAACCAACTCGAGAGCCGAATAAGCGCCAATTGCACGATGATTTAGTTTCAGTTTCGGCTGCTGCTCGCAGAGCTGACGATGACGATGACGACGCCGATGTCGACGATGACGATGAGTTTGCTCTTTGGCAATTGCGGCGGCGGCGACGGCGGCACCAGCAATGACGATGACGCTGTGCATTTTCTGTGTGGAGCTGCGCTCATCTATTGGCCCCCAGCCGATGGTAACGGCGCCGCGCTCGACCTGCTCTTGAGTATAAAACTAAAATTGATGCGAAATTTTTTCTAACTTTTGCATCAACTCCAAACGCGGCAACACGTGCAGCTAGCAGCTCGCGACCCAAAAACGTACGAACAGCAAAAAAAAACCTAAAAATAATAACAACAACTATCAACAAACATATCAAGAGTTTTTTAAGTGTGCGGTTAAGTGCGTGGCTCTTAAGTTGAGAGATTAATTACGTAAAATTTAAATGAAAATATTTATAAACCTATAAAAACGAACGGCAGAGAATTATTAAATAAATAATATAAATAATTAAACACTAATACATTGATTACGAAGAAATTCCCTCACAATTTTTAATTGAACTATAATGATAAATAATTCAATTTGGTTTAGTTTGATTAACAATGTTTATCAATTGAATCTGGTTTAATTGAAAAACAATACCTATTGAATTGTACTTGGATGAGTTTAATTTGAAAAGATTTAAGAGACACAAGTAATAAATCCATTCATAATATAGCTTAAAGATTAATGTTGTTGTATGAAAACGTAGGAATACTAAAGCAACAAAAACGAAACGGAGTATATTCGGTTTCAAGAACATGATCGAAACGCTTTTAGATAACTAATATATGAATTTATACAACTAAAGTAAAGTATTTATGATGAGCTGCGAATATAGCTGAAGGATACTTACATATATGCTTCTTATATATATATAGAAATGCCCACTCATCACTCCAGTCTTTTTGAGATCAAAACTGAACTGCTATTAGGACTACGAAAAGAATAGTTATCTTTTCATTAACTTCATAGTTAAAACAAGTCATCTGACCTTATTTCAAGATACTTAGACACTGCTAAATGCATCTTCAAATGAACATCTTTTCAATTTGTCTATTTCTTAACGAATACAATCTCTCCATTAAATAAAATTGACTCTGTGTAATTATCACCCACAATCGCTGCGCATGCCAAGTTAATCAACCATTAAACGTAATCAAAAAACTATACAAACTGTATTCAAAAGGCTAACGCCAAGTGGCAAGAAGTGAATGTTGTTGTCTTCAACGGCAGCTCCTGGCAATTCAACCACAAAAACAACAAAAAAAAAAAAAAACACCGCAACCACAAATGCCCATTACCATTTGCGGCAAGCATAAAATTCCAAAAGAGCCGTGCCATGCCATGCATCAGAAAATAATAAAAATATAAAAATGAAATCTAATTACATGCCAAACCAAAGAAATAACACTACTGAAGACATCGCTTCTGCCTGGGCCGAATGCAATTTTCCAATTGCAGCTTCCTTTCTAAAAATGCGCGCACACACACACACACACACACACACACACACAAAGTGGATGTTGTGCATGTATATAAGATCTAATAGCACTTAGCTTAGCTCGTCTTTTTTCTCTCTTTCGATTTTGTATTTTAGATAGCAACAACAACAGCGAAACAAACACAAAATCACATTTAAATTACGTATACGCCGCGTAGCCGTAAACCCAAAATCACAGACATCATGGCAGCCGCAACAACAGCGAACAAATCACCACAACAACAACAACAGCAACATCGGCAACAACAACAACAACTACAACTAGATAGCAGTCAGCAGCATCTTCATCTGGCTGCCAGCAACGGCAGCAACTACGCCGCCTCCTCCAGCAACATCTTTGCCTCCTGCATGTCCATCGCTTTTGTTGTCGTGTTCGCTGTGCTGCTGGCAGGAAACTGTGTCAATGGGGTAAGTTCGGGTGAACCCGGAGCTGCAACTACCTTAGCCCTAGCCAGACTAGCCCGTCCGTCTGGCTTTGTCGATTTGTCTATTTATTGCGCTTTGTCAATTATCTTTGCATTTATCGCCGAAATATTTTCCCGCTCATAAAACTTTATAAGCCTGGGAATGAAGGCGCATTGCAATTGAAATTTGATCGCTTCATTAGCTCTATATACACACGATATCAGCCCAGAACAGACATATCATGAGCAGCAGTAGCAGCAGCATTAGCAGCAGCTGCAATTGCTGTGGCAAAAAAAAAAGTGTCATCTTAGATAATTTCTATACTCATTCAAAGTAAAAGATTGCGCACACCATTTGTCTCTTGTCTGATAGCGATCTACACACAGTTAACAACAACAACAACAACAACAACAACAAACTCCCACGCAAAGTTGCAGCCGCAGTCGCCTCAGTGGCAACAGCAACAACAACAATGCAATTGTTGCCGCAAACCCAAAAAAAAAGTGGACCAAAAAGTCACCTTTTTTTCTAGACATGGCTGCATGCGATTTTGCAAGTGCAACGACAACGACGCCGACGTCGACGTCGACCTGTCTGCAAAGTGTTAGACATCTTCTCACGTCCGCAAACGCCACACCAGCAACAACATACACGAGCCCGCGGCTCTTAACTCCCCCTAAATCCCCATTGCCCAGGCCACATTTCCCATTGCTCAAGGTGTCGTCATCGTTTGCTTTTTACCGTCTTCTTCTGCTGCTGCTGCTGCGGCTGCTGCGTTTGCCTTGTTGCCTCTTTTCTTGTTGTTGTCTTTTATCAATTAGCCTTGGTGCCCTGCTCTAGACAGCAACAACGACAACAACGAGGGCAATAACAAAAGCACAAAAACAACAACAACAACACAAAAGAAAGGAAAATTGCCCGCTTTGCTGTTGTTGCTTTGGAGTCTTCGTCGTCTGGTATTTAAAGAGTCCAAGTACTTGCTGCCTGTCGGCTGAGGGGGTTGTGGGGTCGGTTGCCCATTGCAGCTGGGTTACTGAGGCACTAGGCGCTTGTTGTTGTTGTTGCAGTTGAAAATGTTAAGAGCTCATGAAAGTTATTAGCGTGCTGCAGGAAATCGCAGAGGTAATACAAAAAGCGCTGTTGAATTGTTTGGTAAGAGCAGAAAATAGTTATCGAATAGTTAGCAACTAGCAAATGAATAGTTATCGAAAAGTAAGTGTAATCGTACAGTTATCGATCGTTTATGAGACAATATTTAACTATTTGATTATCTTAAAACCGAATTCTCGTTTTCGTGCCTCCCTTTTGTTAAAAAAAGAGATCCATTCCAAACGATTTTCGTCACACGCCCTGCAAATAAATTTATTTAAGCGTAACAAACAACAACAAAAAAAAAAAACAACAATGAAATGTTGGTGTGGAAAAATCGTATTTAGATTGGAATTGACGCAAGATCAAGATAAGTGAAAGACGGACCTGTGACATGCAACATGCAACATGCGACTGCGACAGGAATGGATATGAAAATGGAATGGCATCATTTTGCCGCGAGATATGGAATGTTCACCTGGTTAAACAAAAGAACACAGTGCCTAGCTCGGCTGTCGAATGTCGAGTCATGGGAATGTCATCATGTGTCTGTGTGCGATGTGGCTGCCACTTGGCCACGCTTTGTGACTGTGTCGGCTTTTCATGGTTTCATACGCATGAGATTGACAGTTCTCTGTTGTTTTTTAAAGAGGTTTTATTGTCGCACACACACACACACACACACGCACACGAAGGCAGCCACCCACAATTGCACATTTTCAACACTCAATGATTCTTTTGTTGATCTCTACCCAGATTTTTTTCTAAATATATTTTGCTGGCTTTTCGACAGATTTTTCGGTTGATGCATTTGCATTTCAAATTTCGGTTGTGTTTTTCGCGTGTACCAAAATTGTGTGTGGCAATTGTTTCAGGCTCGTAATTTGTTATTGTTTAGACAACATTTTGCTTGTTGTTTTGCCATGATTTAAATGTGCCCTGCTTGAGCAATCAGCGGTTTCCAAATGAGACACCCAAACGAAGGTCACATGCAGCTCGGTTGCACTCGATGAGATAATTCACATTCCCATGCAATATTTGTACTTGAAAGCCGCATCTCATTTTTGTTTCGATTGCAGCAAATTGATGGCTACATAGCTGGCGAGGATTATCCAATCTACGATGCGGTGCCCAAGGGCCTGTCATTCAACTGCCAAGGACGTCAGCCGGGCTACTATGCGGATACCGAGACCAGGTGCCAGGTGAGTTAAAGAGGAAAGCCAACCCTTACAAGAGGCAGAAAGTATTCAAGGGATCCTTAGATGAATGTCTTGATTATTCGTTAAGAAACCCGACTTGGATTATGTACTAAACATAAAGCAAAAGAATTACGAATCATGTTGATATACACTTTTCTAAGGTCTGGCATTGGTGTTTGCACTCTGGACATCAGTACTCCTTTCTCTGTCCCAATGGAACCGTCTTTAATCAGGCCGTACGCGTCTGCGATTGGTGGTCAAACGTCAACTGCGCCGGCTCCGAGCAGCTGTATCAGAACAACGATGAGCTGTATCGCATACCAGAGCGCAGCCAGCAGCTGCAGCAGCAGGATGAGGTATGATATAAGGCTGATGATGAGTATAAGATTGGGACAGCACACACAACGGCGCCGGCAGCGGAGGCAGTGAATCGGCAACGAGGCGGCAGACAGCGACAGTTTCTGGCACAAAACAAAAGCAACATCAACAGCAGCAGCAGCAGCAGCAGCAACATAGATAAAAGCAAGCACATCAACAACAACAACAGAATCGTAGATAGCACCGCACCAACCAATTACAATAAAATGACCAAAAATAGTTTTAGAGGCAGCATGAGATACACAAACAATCAATCTCAATCGTCATACTCATCATCACAGCAGCAACAGCAACAGCAACAGCAGCAGCAACAGCAACAATATAATTCTAGTAAAAATAGCGAATATCAAAGTAGACACAATAGTAGCAGTAGCCGTAAGCAGAGCAATAGAAATAAAAGTAAACAATTTAGGATAGGCAACACGTCCTCTAGGCATAGCAATCGCACCTCAAGCACCCAACCCAGCGGCAACAGCAGCAGCAGCAACAACTACAACAGCAAGCAACGCGGCGCAATGCGCTATAATTTGAATAAATTTGAAAACGACGAAGAGCTCAAGGATTATAAAAGTAAAATCAAAAATAAATACAACATCGATTATGATCATTCTTTGGATGAAGAATATGAAATAATTGAGGCCATTGAGTGAGTCCGCAGAGACGTTAGAAATTCAAAAAATCTTAAACCAATTAAGAGCATCTCTCAAAAGCTTTGTAGTTGTTGTTGTTGTTGTCAAGTGAATGTGCTGAAAATTGGCGCTACTTGGTTTAATCCTCCACACAGTTGGCAACTTTCCCAAATTCACTTTTGTATATATATTATTTCTTGCACATTTCATTTTTTAAATCGTATGTACCTGCAACAAAATTGTAAAATAAAATGTATATAAAATAATTGTGCGCCTCTGTGGCATACTCTTAAGCGTTCGACTAAGATATTTTATGTAAAAGTTTCGACTTTGTGAGCCGCCTTAAGGCTTGCTGCTATGTAACTCTAGCTTTCCGCTGCTCATGCACCAGGCGCACACTAGTGCCATCTCGTTCGCGCACACGTTGCTGTCGCTGTTTACTTTCAAAGCTCTGCTTGTTGATCAGCTGCTGATCATATGGCTATAAGCTTTGGAATTGTATACGCTTCCAGTTTCCAGTTGTCAAAGTTAGCTGCTGGTATTTGGTCTTTGCTTTTTTTTGTTTACGCCTCAGCAAAATGTGCACGAATAGATAACAATAAGGTAAATATTAAATTTAGATTAAGCGTGCGCAAAAAGATGCTTAAATAGTTATAATTTGGAAATAATATTTCACCATGATGGATCTTTGTCTTTGGACAACAAATTTCAATGGTAAAAGGTTTTGTATGAAACAGCAAGAAGAAGCAGGCCGTAAATGTGTTCAGAATTTTTTAAGTAGCTAACTGAAACAAAATCTACAGAGAGCATCGATAGTAAAGTAGTAGGAATCAGAAATCAAAGATTCCATTGAGAAAAAACATGAGTGCGAATCAAGTTCTTTCAAGAACATATATTTATTTGTTGACAAAGATTAAGTATTTTCTATCAGTTATTAACTAACAATTTATACAACCTCCCAACAACAAACAGCTATCAGCATGCGGAAACACATAGATTAAGACCAGGAGAAAAAACTGTTTATGTACTCAAACCTCAGGCCTACCTAATTATAAGTCAATTGTCAAGTTTTGGTCATTAGGCGGCCAGGTGACACAATTTGTGCAATTAGCGAGTAGAAATGCGTGTCAGCCTGCCCCCGATTCGCCCCACACTCCACACTCCACACTCTATAATCCAAGCAGACCCTAGACAAGCCCCGACCTATCTATACCAAAATATCTATGGTCGTGTCTACTTAAATGTTGGCACTGTCCGCGTGCGTTTCGGATTTATTTTTATTTTTTATTTTTACACGTTTTCGACTCGTTTGCCTGGCCCCTGCTCGCTCGTTGGTCACCCACATTTTAATGGGTTACTGTCAAGTAGCCAAAGCAAATAAAATAACAACAAATTTATGCCTCGTACATTATATAAGTGCGTATTATTTATAAAACAAAAGCCGAATAATGTTATGGAACTGCTCACTAATTAATATGCAGGCAAATAATTTACTATGTGACGCAAATGTCATGTAGCGCAGAAAAAAAGGAAATAATTATATTACTATATAAGTATGAGATACAAGCAACATTTCAAGTATCAAACGCGTAAGAATTTTATAGGCAAAAGAGCTGAACTAAAAGATACCCTGTAGCCAAAAAACGAATAAGAAAAATGCTGTATTCTAATTGTTTTACAGAATATATATATACATATATATTATATAGTAGGATATATTTGGAATGTGTCTTAGAATTATATGCAGAAAAGAAGTCGCTGGTTCAGTGCAAAGTTCGAACTAACTTCCTGCCTTTAGGCTCGGCTTGTGATAGTAATTCTCCACATTCTTAACTCCAGGTTTTGGAATAAACCTTTGTTCCTCATATGTGTACAATATTTTTGTAAAGAATTTATTTTGTATTTTGTGTTTGGTGTATTTGCCCGTTGCACTGAAAATATGGCAAGTCCTACATATTTTCTTATGCAAAATACGGGCTATATTTGTTTTACACCCAAAATAGGCACTTACCAAATATGGTACAGATGCATTGATTGGGTCTTAAGTTATTTTTGCTTTAAGCCAGGGTCTTACTCAAAAGAGTTTTATGTTAAGATAGCCAAGCGAATCTACATTTGATAATAGTTCCCAACATCTACCTGCTTTCCACATCAATATGCCCCTTTTAAACATTTCTATGACTGCAGGGTATTGAAAAGTAAACCAAAACTGAGTATTTTTTCGAATAAGGTGAGAATGTCAGAGGGTCTACAAGCTGGCGCAGAAACCGGTAAGCGCAGATATATAGACGCGTACTCGAACTTATCAGAGACTGAAGCAACTGCCTTCGCGAACAAGATACAAAATACAGTGCCTGCGTTTCTGCGAATCTTGAATGTCTGAAGTCTCAGGTTTTTCAGTTTCACATCTTGAATCTAGTGTCTAGTTTGGCTCGGGTCTGCCGGTTGACAAGTTGACAGCTTGAACTGGGGGCTGGGATGCGTCTTTGCCTCAGCGACTGTGGCTCAGTTTATGAGACAGTTCAACTTCAGCATTTGCATATTTTGTTTATTTTTTTGTGCACAGTCAGGAAGAATTCGAATTGCCAGTCGATGCACAACAGTCCGCCAAGTGCCAAGTCCCAAGGCAATGAAGGCAATCCACCTTTGTCCATTTGTGAGACTGGTTTCTGTTTTTTTCAAAATTGTCTTTATTTTTTTATTTTTTGCTTAGTGCATTGCAGCAACTGCGGGTTTTTTTGCGCGTGCATTTTTAAATTAATGTAATATACTTTGTTTGGCTTTTTTTTACGCCGCTTTTTCGTAACTGCCAAAGACGACTGCCTCACCGGTCAGCCGTAGACCCATCCAAGTTGAAGTTGATTTGTGTGCTTTAAATAATTGCTGCATTTATCAACCCAGCTCAGATGCAACTCAAGTTGGAGGCGCTGTCCGGCAAAAGATACAAATCGTAGGTTAAGCTGATTTTGTGTAAGCGCTTGTCAAGTGTATTGAAGATGCAATCGAGTTTTTGACTCGCACTTTGTGACTCTCAACACGCTTTGATTTGTCAAACTTGGCCAAGAGCCATCGGTGTGGCTCAAAGGGGGCGGGGGCACTGAATGCCAATTGGTCTAGGAAGGTTGCTGTCAAGGTCAATCGAGGAGTTTAAGTGTGCCCTCTGTTGACTATAAATAAATAGCCAAAGAGATTACTTACGCTCAATCAAAAGTTTATAGACTTTTATGATCAATTGATATTTCTTGTATTCAAATATATAGATCACATAAAAGTCAAGTTTTTTAAAGCTCAATTATGTTTTTATTAAAAGCTTACTTGGCTGCTTACAAAAAGCCAATTTATCTTTAACAGCTCCATTTATCACACATATTAATCAAAACTTTTACAACATTACGGCCTGCTATCATAATTTTTGTTGTCGAAAAACCTGCCCCCACACGCCCTCTGCTCCAGTTTTGCTAATAAACAAATAACACAGCCTCATTTTCGCAATCCAATTTGTTTATTGATGCCGTTATTTATGGCCCGAATCATTTAGCTTCATCGATATTAGTTGCCCGGCTCGAAACAAATTAATTTACAATCGCATTAAAAGGCGCTGAATATTTCTTTGTTGTCATTTTTGTTGTTTGTTTCTAATATTTTTTTACAGGGCGCGCAAATAAAAGCAAGTTTAATGCAACAGCAGCCACAATGGAGCTTAGCCTTAACGAAAACTGACGAAAATATAAAAGAAAATTGTCACACAAATTAACATAATTAAGGTGCGCGCATAATGTTCAAATGACAACGTGAGAGATACCGAAAAGAAAAGAAACAAAAACAAGACTCTTTAAAAACTGAAAGCGGCTGCCGAGCAACAACAACAATTATTACGAGTGTAACAGGCCGAAATAGCGACAGACGAAAAATCGAAGCGAGGGATCATCAACACTATAAAATTTAAATGAGGCGACAACAACAACAACTGGGACGGAGGCAACAGTGAGGCACAAAAGCGAAATGTGCATCTTTAACGCTATACTAATGCGCTGCTCCACACAATCAATACAAGGCAACAACAACAACAACAACAACAACAAGACGACAGCTACAACAACAATAACCACAAGAATTGCATAAGCAACAAAGCGACTCCAAAGCGACGCCTCAAGCGACCTCATTTCAGCAAATCGCAATCTTTGCCCAGCTTGTCGACCCTACGCGCAGTCACTCGACCGGCACGGGGGTTGCGGGTGTGCTGAGACCATTTTCTTCTTCTGTTTTTTTTTTTTTTTTTGGTATTTTTTCGCCACAGACATATTTGCATTGCGCATACGCAACGTTGGCCAACGGCATGGATGCAATGGAGCTACTGCATCAGCTATGCGTCAATATTGTTTGGATATTCAAGATCTATCTGAAATTTGCGTTCATCACAGTGATCATATATTTAGTAGCCGAATGGTATATTGTGCGCTATGGCATCGAACTGGAGGATCAGCTGGATGGGAATGTGGCGGCCAACGATCGTCCGGCCTCGAATAGCACGCTGAGTAAGGTGTTTCGTTTCGTATTGAACTTCTTTATCATTTGAGAACTAGATTAACCACCTGATACACGCCTTAGCCATAGCCAAGCAAGGTCAAATCACAGCTCGTAATTCGAACTCGAATTCGTATTCGAATTCGGATTCGCGTTCGAAGTGATTGCGGAATTGCAAATTCGCTTCGCGCGCTTTGTTTTGTTTTCGCCGCAACCGTCAAGGCCTGCAAGAGAATGTAAAGCCCAACCAGTTAGCATTATTAAAAAACAACAAAAAAAAAAATAATCACAAAAATCAAGAAAAATAAAAACAACAAATACATTCTTTTCCATGTAATTACGTAGCAACAACAAACAAACGGGTTGAACGACTTTTCGCTTCTAAAAATAACAATAAAAAACCTTTATGCATGCATTTTGTTCTTTCAGCTCCTTACAAATGAAGTAAAACGTTCAGTTTTTTGGGTGGGGTTTTTTGTAATTCCACGAAAATTGGGTCTTAACACAAACATAACGGTACTTCTCTCATTGTTTTTATTTGATGTGCTCAGATATAGGTTAATTGAAAATCGAATGAATTATCTCTTGCAGGCAGTCAGTTCTGTCAATTTCCTTTACATATTGCAAGAGGCCTTAATTTGTCATATATATTTTTAATTCATAGTATTATCTGTTGGCTTAATAAATTAGTTTTGATTGCCT